CCAAAAAGCAGCAATACCAGCCAGGTGTCAGCAGCAGAGTGCCTGTGATGACATAGTCTTGGGTGTTGCTTTATTTCTTTGGATCCTGAAGTCACAATGACTAGACTGTAGTGTTTATTGATGCTGAGGGAAGATGCGTAATAATAGATAAAACTTACTTTATGTTTGGCACTAATTTATGTGAGAAGAATTCCTTCACTGAGAAACATCCATCACTTACAACATTCCTACCAGAGAAGTGCAGGTCTACATGTCGTTCACTTCAGAAATTATAAATGCTAAAATGTTAAATGTTGAATGTTAAATATTAAAAGGAAAGGCTGTGGATGAGTTCAAAGCCTGCCCAACCAATTTATTACCCAGTTTGTGCTTCAATTTCTTCAGCTGTAAACAGATGTAATTGCTGACCTAAATTCCTAAAGTTACTATGAAAATTATTGAGTTGAAATCTCCAAGGTTGCTGAGAGTAGTGTATATGTAGTAAATACTCTGAGTGTGGGTGTTTATTCTTGAAGTGGGATCACATTTGGGACGGGAAGGACAAATGAATCCTTGCCCCAAACATACATTAGGAGAGAACTGCTTTAGTTTGTGATAGCACTGGGCATCAGAATGTTACTAATGATGGGATGCTGAGCTTGTTGGTGTTAAGCTGGGGCTCTGCTTCTTCAGCTGTGTCTGCCAGTGAAAACAAAGTCACCATGGAGGAAGAAAGTACTCATCAAATCTGTATCTAACAATAGTGCAGGTCCACCATGGTGCAAGTAACGAGTTCATTCTGAAGTGAGCTTGGATATTTCAACACCATGCAACTGAAAACATCCACAGATGTTTTCATGTACTAGTTTCTCAAGGACTTTAGTTAACTGATGCTTTTTTCATTTACCCTTGCAAGACCTTCAGGATCTTGTCCTCAGGCAAACTGTGCATCTTCACCTTTCAATTCTTCTTCTTACAGCTAATTTTCATTTTAATTATGGCCTGTAGGGCAGAGCCAGGGAAAAGCATGGCCTAGAGTCATCTTCCTCCATTACTGACAGTATGAGAAATGAAATCTTGAACTAGCTCCTCAATCTTTCTGTGTTCATTTTCTCTGCTATAAAATGAATATACCTACTCTCTGTAGCTAGCAGGGGATTCTCAGGATTGTACAAGATAGTGTGACAGTTCTAAGTTCCATATTACACTATATAGCAAGAGCAATACTGTGACAAGTCCATCCTTTGATTCACAAATATTAATGACTTCAGAAGAATTATTGGTTTATCAATATAGTCGATGGAACTGTAATGAAAACTGGTCACCAGATTGTCCATTGCCTTTGTCAATAGTCATAGAGTGGCCCAGAAAGTAGCTTGTGTCATTCTGACACTGTTAAGTGATAAGACACAATGGAACATAAGAATGCAGCTCTGAAGAAACAACACTTGAAGAAAATAGGAACTTCAAGGACAATATCCAAAAACAAAGATAACTTCCCATCAGCCTGAGCTCTCAGTGTGATCAACTAAAACCAAGCTCTTTGAAATATTAAAATGCATCTATGGTGAGAAGGCTCTGAACAAATTATTTTCTTAAGAATTGGCCTCTGTAGTCTTCCACTCTGTACCTGTGCCCAGGCATCACACCCTGTCAGCAAAGTAAAGAAGGTTGATTCAATCAGTAAAGCTAGTGGATGCCACAGGCTTAGGAAACAAAAATCTGATTTTCTTGTCTGGTATATAATTTCTGTCTGTCAAAGTATAGCTCTATATGTTATTAGAATCTTGGATCTTTCTGAAATAATCTAGTTCTACTCCATTTGTTTGTTGACTATGTACACCCTGCACTGGGCACTGAGACTGATACTGAATATGCAATGTAACCATTGGCCCATGACTTTACCACAGGAAAGTTTAGTTTATAATCCACTGGGGAGCAAGTGTAGGGAGAGTGAAGGTGGGGAGTTGGGGCACCCTGGAAGAAAGAATGAAAATTAGTGAAGAAAGCATCTCTAGTACAGGGGAAGTTTCTGGGAGTCTATGAGGATAACCCTAGCTGAGATCCCTAGTAGTGAAGGTTAAGGAGCCTGAAGTTACCACCTCCTGTAGCCAGGAAGGATTTCCAGTGAAGGGGAAGACATCAACCCATCTATAAAACTTTAAACCCAAATTAGTCTCGCCTATAAGAGGTGTAGGAATGGTGTAAAGAGTGAAGGAATGGCAAAACAATGACTGGCCCAACTCAAGACCAACCCCATGGAAAAGAGCCAACTCCTGACATTATTAATGATACTCTGTTATGTTTGCAGAGAGGAGCGTAGCATGACTGTATTCTGAGAGGCTTCATCCAGCACCTGATGGAAACAGATGAGAGACCCATGGCCAAACAATAGGCTGAGCTGTGAGAGTTTTGTCAAAGAGTAGGAGGAAAGATAGATGGAACTAGAAGGGTTAGGGACACCACAATAAGACATACAGAGTCAGCTAACCTGGGCCCATGAGTCCTCACAGAGACTGAACTATCAAGGAAATGAATGCATGAGCTAGACCTAGAACCCCTACACATATATAGCAGATATGCAGTCTGGTCATCATGTGAATTCCCTAAAAGTGGGAGTAGGAGGAATCTCCTACTTTTTTGCCTGCCTTTGGATCCCTTTCCCTTACCTGGACTGCCTTGTCAAGCCTCAATGGAAAAGGATAGTCCTACTGTGACTTGAGATGCCGGGGTGGTTTGGTACACTTCTGGGTCCCCTCTTCTCTGAGAAGAAGAAGTAGGGAAATACATATGTGTGTATGTGTATATATGTGTATACATATACACATATACATGTGTATATATGTATGTATAGATAGATACATGATAGATAGATAGATAGATAGATAGATAGATAGATAGATAGATAGATAGATAGATGATAGATGGAGGAAACAGAAAGAAATGGTGAAAGATAATTTAAATGAGAGGCTAAGGATATAACTCATTTGGTAAAGTATGTGTCTCAAAAACATGAGAACATGAGTCCCATGCCCAGAACCTATGTTAAAAACAATACAAACAAACAAAGAGCTGCATTCACGGATTATGGTGGTTTAGCAACATTGTGGTTGAAGATTCTCCTCCAAGAGTTTTACTAGCCCTGAGATGTTGACTAGGTTTCCAGTGTCAGGCATGATCTCCTTCTTGTTGAATGGGGCTTGCCAGCTGTTGGTTGGTGTGCAGGTGTGCATGACAGTGCTGCTCCCTTAGGGTTATTGTGTCAATATGGTGTTGTGGTTTATAGGCATCATAGGTAGGTAGGACTCTGGGTTGCCCCACTCCTTTGGAAGAATGCATGATGCCTTCTGGTACCATGAAGGCTAGTCATCAGGTAGGAGGTTTTCAGATTAATTCTAACTCAGGAGTATCTGGACCCTATGTCTGAAGTACATGGTGTCTTCTGCAATAGGGACTTAAATTACACCTCTGGGGACAACCAGGGCCAATGGCAATAATCTGTTATATTTTAGGACTCCCTTTTACAAGCCTGATCAACAGTGCAAAAGAGGGCTTCTCATGCCTGCTGTTAAGATTATTTTCCTAGTGCTTTGCTCATGGAATGAGAATTGTTAACCAAGATGAAAAAGAAATTGTTTAATTACACACACACATACACACACACACACACACACACACACAATAGTTTTATGTAGATAGTTAATAATATTATTCCTTATGAATTTTTCAGGCATGTTTACTGTTATCTTACTTATCTCCCACTTCCCCTCTCTGATTACAGCCATGGCATTTTTCGCTGATCAATCACTTGTACCCTGCTATTCTCCTCTCTTTTGCTCACAACCACCCCATCCCCCACACACTTTGACAATAATTTTTTTCCCGTTTTTTGTAGTTTCTCCAGGATATATGCTCACATCTGAAGATTTGGAACAAGGAGCCTCCAGTGAGAAAGACATGCAATTGTGTTACCTCAGTTACTACGATCTTCTCTAGTTTCATCCATTAGCCTACAAATTACATTATTTTATTTTTCTTTACCGCTAAATAGTATTCCATAGTTTATGTGTACAATATTTTCATTATCCATTCATCAGTTGAATTGCATTTAGGTCATTTCCATTTTTTAGCTATTATGAATAAAGTAGCAATAAAAATGGCTGAACAAGCGTCTATGGAGTAGGATGTTCCTCTTTTGGACATATTTATCCTTACACACAGAGATAAGTATAGTACTGAAATCTCATCAAGAAAAATGCTTTTTGCAACAGACAAGAACAAAAGTTGGACTGTATTTTATAACATATAACCACTGAATTGTAGTAGCTTCTTCAAGCATGGAAGTCTAATTTGTTATATCCTTGCTAGACATAGAAAAACACCAGAGGGCTGTGATTTTAGCTTGTTGCGTGTAGCCTATAACACAGGCAAGGTCATGTTTTTCAGCTCCAGCATTAGGAGAAAAAGAATTATAGAAAAACAAAG